CTTTTTAAATATTTTTGGTTTGTTTCTCTTCAGGCTCTAGTGAAAAGGGAACCAGGACAATATTACATTGTAGATTATGAGGTTAAAGTAAACGACATATAATTTGTTTTTTTGGAGAGGTGTCTAGATGCTATAGAATCAGGTTTACAGCGATTTTAAGCTAATGTAGCGAAATTGCGCAAAATGACGGTTCACGGATTTGACACATTGAAAATTAGAAAATCTTAAATGTCGTAACTCCGCTTCTAAAGCACCTAGGGGCTTCTTCCGCAGCTTAAATTAAAGCTCATGGACTATAATCTCTTTAGTTTGCATGAGCATATAAAATCTTGAAGAGTTTTCAGACAGCTCACAAGGAGAAGTGGTCTCGTAGAAAGTGAAAGAAAATACGAAAAAGTCAAATTTTTCATTTGAATGAACGGCAATGAAAAAAAAATGCAAATGCAATGTATACATTTTCTTGTTGTTGTTGGTCAAAAGTAACTTCCCTGAAAGTTTCAGAAAAAAAATGGAACTGATTTTCTGTACTAAGCATTTGAATATCGCGAAAAACCGCGTTTTTTTCGAAAAATTGCAAACTTCAAATAATCGTAACTTGAACAATTTTTCTTATTTTTTTAACTCATAAAAAAGTTTTGTAGGTAGTTTTGTGTATTGAGTGTCGAGTGTCAAACTTACCTCATGCATTTGATACCTTGAAAATTAACAAAAAAAACTACACAGTCGTGAGTTATATACAGGGTGTCCCTGAAAAGGATGGACAACTCTTGACCACAGGTTCCTTGAATGAAAATAAGACTATTTAGCCTAACTTACTTACTTACAAAAGTGCACGCCTACTGAGATATAGCCTTCTAAATATAGAATAGATAACCTATTCTTTTCAAATAATTTGAAAACAATTTTTCTTAGAAATTTGGTACACTTATTTTTTTATATAACAGCAAGGTAAATATAGAATTTGGAGAGAATACATATACATGACTATTTCTAGTGCCTGTGCGCCACTGGCTATCCCGTAAATTTTTTGTGTGTACGCCAATGACGACAGAATTTATATTTTTAAAAATAAGCACGATTTTAGAAGATTTTTTTGCTCTTACAAAATTTCGATATCGTTTATGGATTTCGAGTAAAATTCGCATTTTTTATACATTTGGTAAAAAAGCTACGGGCCTCACCTATTCACAGTGTCACGAGCCGCCACTGCCTTAACTGTGCTTTTCTGATTCCTGGAAGTAAGGTGATGCTCTGTTGTGCTTTGCGTTGACGAAAGTCATTATTAGTAGTGCATCACCTTCATTGTCAAAGTGACAGATTAAAAGAATTAATCGAGTACCACGTACAACAAAAAGTTCTGAAAAGATCCAATTTCGGAAAGTTATTTATTGACGTGGATATCGACAAGACTGGCTCATATCTCGTTCAGTTTAATCTAAACCTCGTTATAACCAGCAAACCTCTACAGTTGCCACAAACCGACCCTTGTAAAACTTCAATAGTTTCCACTTACGGACTTGGAGCTGTCACTACCATTTCCCGTCTATTTCAATTTCAAGATTGCGGCTCACCCCCTATCAAAAATAAACTTCGCCGAGAAAGCTACCCAAGCGAACATACTTAGGACATTCCGACGAAATATACGGGTACGTTGTCGAGTGGATGACGATTGAGTGGAGAAGTTGGGCACTGTTGATTCCTGATAAGTAGAATAAAGTTCGAGTTCCGCTGATGGAAGTTACGAACTACGTAAGTTAATCGACCGCGATAAAAGTTCGGCGAGTGTGTTGTTTAGATAGATGTTGGGATGGTTCTACGAAGTTGTAGGTGAAAGATTTATGTAATTTTACAAATTCTACCCATAGGCACTTTTTATTTGGACTGTGGTGCATTTTTTTTTATCAATTATTTTATATCTTTGGTTTCTGGAATTAATTCTATGTTTTTGCCAACCTTTCGAATGCGAATGTCCCTGAAGGATGCAACCGTGTCAAGGCGGCAGCGTTGCAATTCGGAGCAGAGTATTGGCGGCGCGACGAAACCGCCTCCCGTTCAATGTGACGGCGGAACTGGGTCACACACACCCACGTCCTCAGGAATATATGGAGCGGCGTGGTCCTTTGGTCGCTTTCAGATTAACGATTGTCCAATTTCCCGCGAAACCACGGAGCGAGGGATATGCTTCCCTTAGCCCACTGACCCCGTTTCCAATCTGGTTATTGAATGAAGCCCTGTTTAGAGAGAGATAGAGAGAGAGAGACAGAGAGGGGGAGAGAGAAAAAGGTCATTGATTTGACTTGGAGAGCGTTGTCAAAGGCTTTCATAGTAAAACTTACAAGGGAAATGTTACAAAGTTTGTCGGTAGGTAATACATTTCGCTCGAGGCAGACCTTATTGTAGGAAAGCAAAGACTTAAATCAGTGGCGGCTCGTCAGGTGACGCAAGTGACGCGTCGCTCACCTAAAATTTCCGTTTGGTTGTGCAATTTAAAATTATTTTTAATTTTATATAAATTTTATAATTTAGGTATAATTCTATATTGAAAATATATTGAGTTTGTTTGTTTAAAGGTGGGTACAAACTAGAAAGCACATGCGAAGAGTCAAAGCGAGACCACACGCATATGCGTGCGTTCTCGCTCTTCAATGATTATAGTGAAACTTTTCCTCAAACGCATGCGATGTTTCTCACTTTGCTCCATTCATTCGTCCTAAAGATGTCTTCAGATGAAGTAGTTGTTATAACGCAAGCTGCCTTTTTTGTTATAAACAAATGAATTATAAACTTAACATTTTTTGTCGTACAGTTTTCATGTCCATTCCCATTTTCTCTGCTATAGCGTCCCAGGCCTCGGATTTTTTAGTTTTTGAATAATAAGATGGGTGTTTAGTATCCCATAACAAACGGTATTTTTCATAATAATCTATTAATTGCAAACATTGCTCATTTGACCATTCCTGTAATTCAGACATATTGCACACATACAATAACGACTCACCTTAAGCCGGTCCCAGACGATGTGGCCAACGTTCGTTCCAATGTTGGTTCCAATGTTCGTTCCAACGTTGGACACAATTTTCGTCATAAAAGTATGTCAAGTGTNTCTGAAAAATGTTGTCTTCATTTCTTCTAAAGTAACGATACCTACCCTGTACATGCTTACATATAATTAAAACTTCCCACCTGGAAGATTTCATAATTTAATAAAACAAAAAAAAACCTGAGACACGTCGATTTTCTTTTCAAGAGGAACAAGTGATGGCGTAAGTTTTGGTGTTTTGGAAGCTGCCCCTTAAACAGGGGCGTAAGATACCCTTAAACTTTAAATGGCACCCTATGTTGAGTGACACTTCATTTTAAAGCTTTTTCAGTTCTGCTCAAGACGACATACGACTTTTTAAATTTTTGTTTGGATATGACAATAAAATCATCACAAAAAATAAGACAAAATATTATTAATCATAATTATTATTATTATTAATCTTAGTTTTGACAAATTTGAGAATAGAATAATGAAGCTGAAACCAACAAAAGTTAAATAATATTCTGGTCACTTCTATCAATCTACCATTTACTTTTATGCACGTCTCAATTTCTTTACGTGCGTTCATAATTACTTTTGTATTTGGCTTGGAGTAATTTCTGCACAGGCTTACATTATCCTAGCACGTAGTTCGTGTACGGTTTGTGGTCTTCATTTATAAACATTTTGTTTCAATAAACCCCAAAGAAAAAATCTAATGGTGTCAAGTCCGGGTATCTCGTCGGCCACTCAGGTAAAGGACTATGTATTTCATCCTATCCAACAATTCTCACCGCAGCAGCGTTATCAATAGAGCTACTAATTGAAACTTCAAATTAAGGAGATTTCTTAAAGGCAAATCATTATTGCGTTTAGAAATTCATTAAGAAGATGTAAAAATCTTTTCGCGTTCAAATTGCCGTCAAAAAAGAAAAAAATTACACTAAACGTTAACTTTTTGCGAATATAATGAATTCTGGATTATCAGCTGACCAATGACCACAATTTTGGGACGAAACTATCCCATTTATAGAAAATGTGGCCTCATCACTAAATAAAATTGCACTTAAAAATTTCGGATTATTTAAATATTCCCCAGTAGGCAATAACAAAACTCCAAACGCTTTTCTTCATGTATGGACAAATTTTGGTTTAAAAGCTTTTATTATAATTTTTTCCAGGCACCTTCTGATACTTTCTCTAGGAATATTAAGATTTAAACTAGCCACTCTGATACTAGCCCGAAGATTATTATTAAAATATTGTAAAATTTGGTTATTATTTCTCAAAATTGTACGGCTAGACATAACGGACATGTCTAGTTAATTTATTGAAACACTGTTTGTTTCATTGAAAACTTTATTAATATACTGTACTCGTCTGTCTGGGTGCCTAGTATTAAATTCTATTGCAACATTTTTTGCCGAACCTACATTATCACCAACAAGTCGTACAATTTCTATTTTGTCTCTTAATGGTATATTTGCCACACGAGATAAACTTTACTTGTCACTTTTGATAATTAGCTAAGTACCTAATTTTTTGTTTTGCTTGGCCAACATATAAACAACAAATTAACGAAAAAAGTAAAGAATTGTGAATTTTTGATTTGGCTACAAAATCTTTATTATTTAAAACTTTTTGATAAAATTTGGTATTGACCCGTTTTGGGGGGTCGTGAATTCAGTGGCGTAAATATATGTTTCCTCGAAAAATCCCTAATATGAAATATTAGTTTTACTCCTAAAAACGAACGTAGTACTCCTTAAATTTTATGAATAACGCTCCTTTTCCTTCACAAAATACACTTCATAAAACTCTACAACTTGAAAAAATCCGGTTAAAATCGCACAATAAATAAAGATCTTACAGGGTGACTTAAAAAACAAATGAGCCACACTGTATATAGATTTAAAAATTATGTATGAAACCAATTATCTACTGACCTAATAATCATTCTCTTTTTTTTTTTTTTCAGGCAAGAGGTTCGGGACCACAGGGTCCACTGGGGCGCCAATTTCACCTTCCCCTGCAAAATGATGGCGAACGCCTCCACCGGCGTTATGGAGAGGTGCATTCTGAGGATATCCATCAGGAAGGAGTCGAAGGGGGGCCGCTCCTTCAACAAACTCGGCTTCGTCGACCTCAACCTGGCCGAGTACGCCGGCGCCGGACTGACGCACAAGAAGGCCCTCCTCGAAGGGTACGACACCAGGCACCGCCAGGACAACAGCATGCTCAAGTTCAAAATCGAACTCAATATGATATCGGGCGACATCCTCTTCAAAGCGTGAGTACTTGCTTCTCGATTTGAAATTCGAAACTTATTAACTGTGCCTTTAGGGCCAGCGGGATCTTTTAAAGCAACCCAATACGGAAATTTGGTCTCGAAGAGTCTTAAAAACACTTTTAATCTTATTTGATTTGTTTTTTTATTATTCCAATGCATTTTAATATTTTGATGAAAGTGTTGCACACTTCTTCGTAGGTAACTAAACTACGGTCACTTTACACATTCCAATGAAGTAAACAAAGGCCAAGCATGAGCACGTGTTTGCAAAACTATTGGTCAAAAACCATGATCAGGGGCTAGAAGATATGATTGATATTGCGCCGTTCAAATATCCACACTGAACTTGATCTATAGTAGGATCGTATTCGATGCAAAGTAGAGCAAAAAGTGGTCGGTCTTTTATCAAAGGAATATCGTGTCATCATTTTTAGGAGGCGTAAGATAAATCATTTCAAATTTAAAATGAAATTCAATGTAAAATCTGAAATACCGCTGCATACGCACTGTGTTCTGGTAGTAGCTGTAGTCGCCCAGGTGCATCGAGTGTACGAACTGGTCGGTTATACGTCAAATACTAACCTGGCGAGCTTTGCCGTCAATTAGAGAGCGCTTCCAAAAAACAAGTAAACAACAGTGGCGCGTACAGAGGTAAAATGTAGTACATATGTGGAATTTAGGAAACAAATTGGATTTATAATAAATTACATTTAAAATAAATAGTTTATGAGAATAAAGGAATTTTTGTAGGAACAAGGGTGCCAGACCTGAACTGATCCCCTCGTCCCTTCATAATGTATAGAGAAATTATTCAATTTGTAAAACCCTTAAAATCGTACTTCATTGCTTCCCTTGACAGGCAATGATTTATTACTTTGCATCGAACATGATCCTACTATAGTTCAGTTACATTTTAGACAGTTAATCAGTTGATTAAATGACTACATATTGCTTAATGAAATTTTTTGTTAAAATTGTTAGGAAAAAGGAGAACACGATATTCTTATTAAAGGACAAAAATGGAATAATGTATTTCAAGAAGTCAATCTTAAGAGACAACAGTGCCAATAACCACTACAGTAATTAACATGTTTATATATAAAACAATCACAAGCACGCTAATACAAATATGAAATGTATACTACTTTGCTATTTTGAAATATAGATTACTATTATTAACGACACTGTCTGTCACCCTGGCAACGATAATATCCACAAGTCGCTATTTACTCTCCATATGACGTCACAACATGGCTAAGGGTACGCGCAGTATCATATCTTTTAGTCTTTGATTTATGGGTCCAAACGAATCCAAACGGCTGTCCTCATCTACGAATACAGAATCGGACTTCACGTTGTATAATAGTTTCTATTTCGTGCGTATCATTGGTGTCTTAATTTTATTGCGGTTTTATATAGTTTTGGATTACTTTAAGATATCTTGCACGGTTTTTTTGTAAAGATATATTTTCTAATTTTATACTTCTTGAAATATTTCCACTTGACCTTAATGTAAATCTTTTTTTTAATTTCAGGCCCTCTCCTTCCCTAAAACATAAACAAGTGAACGCCGACGACGCCTCAAACGAACAGAGGTCGGACGAGTTTTCCAGCGGTTCCCTAGCAGGGTCTATAGCAAGCGGTAGCTCCGGCTTTGGCAGTTTACCCAAGAAAAGGCCTGCTCTTCTAGCATCAGGTAAGACATCGCACATTATATTTAAATATTATGCTGAAACAGCAAAGAGAGTGTTAATGTCATACCATTGGAGACGTGTTCTGGTATTACGATCTTTTAATTTTTTTAACCTAGATTTTGTATGGATTTTGACGAAAATCAGGTTTTAAAACTGGGTGGTATATTTCTATGTCTTCCGACTTGAAATTGTCCCTATCCTCCGTCTTGAAGTATAATACTACGTTTGAATCCAACGACCTCAATTTTCCATCCACCATCTTGGATCCGCCATTTTGAATTTTGTATTTCTGGCGTAACGCTCGTAATCAGCGACTCCGAAAACTTGAAGGAGTTGGGATTTAGGTGTTTTTAATATGATTCTTCTGAATATTTTCAAAAGACTTGACGGGTTTTGTGGGCAGAATTACCTCGTGATGTAACATAACCTCAAAAATAGCGAAAAGTTGTGCGTTTCGCACTTTTAGGTTGAGATATCTCGGAAACTTGACGTAATGTAGCAATTCTAAGGACGAATATCATACCCTGGTTTCTGGTTTAAAATTTGTATGTATTATTAATCTTTACTCCAAACATTGTTCTCTGAACCGGACGATTTATATTCCGCACCCGACATCGATTTCAGAAGCCGTAACCAGAAGTAGTCCATCATCGTTAAGCCGCCTCCTGTGGGCTTCATAGTCGTTTAATCCTGTGATGAATTTACATTTTTACTGTTGAGAGAGAGATTGGGGGTTTAATCTTTATTAATGAAGTGCAATTTTTTTAATGTATCACACTTTGTTGCCGTTATATTAATGTTGGTATTAATTAAGAGATTAAATGGACTGTATGGTTTTCGGTCTAATTTAATGCCATTCGCTCCGTGGCGTTTACATAAACCGTTGGTAGAGGATTAAAGTGTATCATAACTTGAGTGCCAGGGATTATGGGTGTTTGATTGCGTTAAAGCTCATTGTTAGTGTGGTTTTTGTGATGTAGAGCCTGTTTAAATATGGAATTATTTTTTCTGTAATATTGCAGATAATATCTTTCTGTAACATTGCATAATAAAATGGACAAGACGAAAATTCCACAAATATGATTGGGAAGCTCATTTGTTAAAATTGCAAATATTTACGGATATTATTTGTTTAAATTTATCCGTCGACATTTACATTTTGTGAACTGCTGTGCACACGGTAGTGTATGTAAGCGCATCAATTAGTTGCCAGGTCATGTGTCAAGAAAATTATTTAGAATAAAACATTGTTCCTTGGATTATTTTAGATGAAAAGACCTTAATGAAGCAAGAACTTTGGGTTACAATTATTAATTTTAATTCACTCTTGGAACCAGTTACTAAGAGGTTCATTCATATTTGATTCTAAATAATTTTCTTGATGCATGACTTGGCAAACTCTCAATTTGTCGGTGCGCATGAAAAGTGGACCTTAATCAGCGATTCTCAAAATGTGAACGGCTCGTTCTAACCCCTCTCCATTCTCGTTGTTCCAGACCTGGTCATAGGTCAAACCCTAACCGAGAACAACAACCCCATCACCATAGCGGCGGATTGCAACAGCGACGCGACTATCCAACTTCCCACCATACCGTCCTCCACGGGCGAGCACCTCGACCAGCAGGAGGCGCCCTGCGAGCCCGGCCACTCCAGGAACTCCTCCAATACCAGCCAGTTGTCCAAGGCTTCCGGATATAGCAGCATCCACTCGCACACGCACAGCAGGCAGTCCAGTTCCGGGGATTCCGGGCATATCAGGTGAGGTTTGGGTGTGGTGAGGGTTTGAGTCTTTGGGGTTCTTAAAAATGCGGTTAGTAGGATTGAGGTCTGGAATGTTCTTGGTCGCTTGCAGGATTTAGACCAATAGGAAAGATTAGTTGATTGAAATGATGTTGATGTGATTAAAAATAATAAGCAAAGGGAACTAACACTAATGTAGGTGAAATATCTACAGTTATTTTTTGTTATAGCATTTTTTTCTGCTTGAATCTGGTATAGACTCGGAACGTTTCTAAATTGATGGGTCTGCTTTTAATATATTGGACAAGTGGCGATTTCTTGTAGTTGTGACTAAAGTAGAAATATTCTTCAAGTTCGAATTAGTTGAATAATTTTTCTGATCAATGTGAATGAATCAATGAGGGTTACCTTTTATATTTCGGGAATAGAGAACAAAAAAAGAAATCAATCACCTTTGTTGTTCTTCAAAATATTCTCCGTGAAAATCAGTACACTTTTGCATGCGCTGGAACCAATTTTCGAAGAAGCACTTTTTCTATTCAGATTGAGCTAACTCCAAAACAAGCATTTTAAACGCATCAACCGCTTCAGGCATCGAAAAACGTTGCTCTCGTAATTTATTTTTGATGTGCGGGAATAAAAAAAGTCGTTGGGCGCCAAATCAGGGCTGTGCGGCGGATGACTCATCAATTCGACTTTTTCAGTTGTCAAAAAGTCTGGTGGTAGCTCGAATTGTCCTGGTGGAGAATCATGCATCTTCGGCGGTTGGTTTCCCTTATTCTTCCGAAGACTTCTGGCAAACAAATGGTTGTGTATCATTCAGAATCGACTTTCTGACGTTGCACTGATGGTACAGTTACCACGTGTCCGGTTTTTCCGAAAAAAACAGGTGACCCTTTGCTTAGAAGTGAACAGCTTTTGTTGGATTTGGCTCATCTTGAACGAGCCGTACAGCCGACTGTTGTTTACTTTCGGGCTCGTAAGAAATAGATCCATGATTCGTCACTTGTTACTATGTTTCTTTCGACCACGATTGACTTCCGTATACCATCGATATACAGTGGTTTTTGATGGTGTTTGATCGCCAAAAGTCGAATCAAGTTCATCGATGCATTGTTAAAATAATAATTCATGTCTTTTTTTTAAGAACCCCTATTTAATATAGCAATTTCAATTTAGCTGTATATAAAAAACCTGTATTTAATTAAATTTTATTTTTTTAAATAAGTTTATGTTTTCCTATTTTTCTCTAAAGCGGAACTGATTTTCATTTGTTTCAAAAATGGTCATTAAACAAATTTATTATTACAATGGCAAATCAGAAGACGATTTAACCGGAATCTTTTTAGTTTCTTTAAAGACAATCATCCATCAGCTTAATTCTTGATAACCAAATTGCATTTTTTTGTGTTACATTAATCCAAAACATTTCGCCAATGACATTGAAACAAAGTAAAATCAGCTCCCCGAAGAAATCAAAATTGCGTTTTAATCGAATTGTACTCTTTACGCTGTTCCTTAGGGCTTCCCCGCATGCCATATTTATTTTTTGTTTATGTTAGGGACCTACATAGCAGATCAGTACGGACTCACACCGTAACGACCACCCAAAAATTTTTCAGAACCCACACCTACCCCAAAAAGATCAACATCCCCAACACCATCCACGCCTCCCACTCGGAGGACGTCTATTCCACCCCCGTAGGGGTCATCACCTCCACCCCCATAAAGGCTGTCGTCAATAATTTCATCGAAAACGAAAGCGTATCCACTTACTCCACTCCTAAGGGCTATCAGACTCAGGTCAGCTACGTCAGCAATTCAAGCGCGGAAGAATACAAGACCCCCGAGACCACCTTTATTAACGCCAAGACTGACATTTTCTCTCAAAATTTTAACGAGTTGCAGAAATCCTCTTCTACGAGCGTGGTGGAGAGGATCAAGACCAACATGTTGACGATCGACGAAGTAGAACATAGAAAGTCCGACACGACGAACAATAATTCTCACTTCATCGACAACAGACTGAGTCTGGAGGAGATGGAGAAAAACAAAAGGAATTCTGTGGAGGGCGTTCTGAGGTCGAAAAGCGAATTTGAAATCCCTCGAATGCCCAACCCCCCCATAGAAAAGTCCTTCGCTAGTAAATTCTTCAAGTCCGACAGTCTTTTTTCCTTTCTCACCCCCAGGCCTAAGAGGAAGAGCCTTAGCGAGCAGGCCTCCCCCAACCGAACCAGTCCCACTAACCTCTTCAAAGTTCCCGGTTCTCCCGTTCCCAAACTCAACAGCCTCCCCGAAACCCGCACCACTTCACTGAGTTCTCTTCGGTCGGGACACTCCAGCAACGAGGGGCTGTTGTCCGTACAGCTTTCCCAAAGGTAGGGCTAGAGTAGGTTTTCTTGGTTTTACTTGTCTTTCCTCGATTAACGTGTAAGGTGTTCCGCTTTTGTATGTTTTTTAATATCCGGTTTAACGTCTTGACGTGTTTGTTCCTGAAACTGACTTGATTGGACCTAGTATTTGTTCTGGCAAGATGAAAATTGTCATGCTTTAATTCTAGAAGATAATACTGGTTGCGATCAATAGGTGGCACGCTGTAGTTCACCGTGATTAGTAACAGATGGCGCTTATAATCATCACTGGCGTTATACTACTGGAAACATTTAAAGGAACAAAAAATTTTCATGTTTTTTTAGAGATCTTCGAAAGGCTGTATTTCAGTGAAAAATGGTCGCATCGAGATAAAAAAGGAAGCATTTTGAAGCTTTAGGTCTCTAGTTTCAACATCTTTAGAAAAAAAAGAGTTTGAAAAAATTTTCCTGATTGCACGGACAGTCCCAATGTAAAAAGGAAATTTGTAAAACTTTTTTCGACGTATTTCTTTTTTTTTTGCTCGATAGCTGTAGCTCAAAAAAATGTTTGTCTAAAGATCTTGAAACTAAAGACTTAAAGCTTCAAAATGCTTTCTTTTTTATCTCGATACGACAATTTTTCAGTGAGACACAGACTCTCGAAAATCATTAAAAAATTCATGAAAATTTTTTGTTCCTTTAAAGTTTGCCTATCCCAAAAAACCATTGCTAAATTCAATGGAACAAAGATCCAAAAAGAACGAAAAGTGACCTGTTTCTCGTTTCGACATATTTTTTCCTGTAACATTAAAAGTAACCCCTGAATAAAAAAGTGGTTCTTTATTTTTTGTTTGTTTGATGATTTTCTATAAAGTTACATCAACTGCGATTTAAAAAAGTTGAATTTTGCATTAACAATGGGCTAAAAATAGTAGAAAATCATACGTGTATTTGGAACAATTTTGAAAATAAGTAAATATTTATAAATGTTGATGAAACATTGTGAACAAATAGTGAAACGTGTCAATTCTACCCCAAAAATTTTGCAACGAAAAATAAAGAATGACTTTTTTTGGGTTAACCAAATTTGGACAGCACATAGCTAATACAATACGAAACATCGCCTTATTGTTAAAAATGATGTCACCGCCGTTCTTGGTGGTGAAAATTCGAAATAGAGAGAGAGTTGCGTTAACCAAATTTGGACAGCACATTGCTCTGAAATTCGACGTCAAAGAAAATTTTACAGATCTGTCTAAATTTCGTTTGAATATTGGTAGGTGTTTTGTTGTCTTCGCAAAGATTATGATAAATTGGTATTTCAACGAAATTATAATTAANAGACTCTCGAAAATCATTAAAAAATTCATGAAAATTTTTTGTTCCTTTAAAGTTTGCCTATCCCAAAAAACCATTGCTAAATTCAATGGAACAAACATCCAAAAAGAACGAAAAGTGACCTATTTTTCGATTCGACATATTTTTCCTGTAACATTGAAGGTAAGCCCTGAATAAAAAAGTGATTCTTTATTTTTTGTTTGTTTGACGATTTTCTATAAAGCTACGATAACTACGAATCAAAAGAGTTGAATTTTGCATTAAAAAATGGGCGAAAAATAGTAGAAAATCATATGTATATTTGGAGCAATTTTTAAAATAAGTAAATATTTATAAATATTGATGAAATTTTGTGAACAACTACTAAATCATGTCAATTCTACCCTAAAAATTTTGCAATGATCGCGTGGTTTTCGATTCAGAATCTACACAGTATAATGCTGTCGTATTTGGCTAAAAGCAAGGGGTTACGACGTAGTTTTTATGTGTGCAAGATTTTGTCGATGGCATAGAAAATTCCTTGGGCAATAAATAATTGTTTATATCTAAAATATATCTAAAAGGTTATAAAAGTGTAAAATTAGGTATTTTTAGTATGGATCATTGTTTATTATGACAACCAGTATCTCTACAAAATTGCGTGCCCTTTCTAAACCTTAATTTAAACCCACGGTACGCGATAAACTTTTTGAAACTTTCTTAATTAACAGTCCTGTCAATCGAAAATCACGCCATCGATCGTTGCAAAATTTTTGGGGTAGAATTGACATGTTTCACTATTTGTTCACAAAGTTTCATCAACATTTATAAATATTTACTTATTTTAAAAATTGTTCCAAATACACATATGATTTTCTACTATTTTTAGCCCATTGTTAATGCAAAATTCAACTTTTTTGAATCGCAGTTGTTGTAACTTTATAGAAAGTCGTCAAACAAACAAAAAACAAAGAATGACTTTTTTGGGTTAACCAAATTTGGACAGCACATAGCTAATATAATACGAAACATCGCCTTATTGTTAAAAATGATGTCACCGCCGTTCTTGGTGGTGAAAATTCGAAATATTTGGAATTATTCAATATTCCTGGCTGAAAACATACATAGGTATTGTATTATCGAAACCAAGAGAGTTGCGTTAACCAAATTTGGACAGCACATTGCTCTGAAATTCGACGTCAAAGAAAATTTTACAGATCTGTCTAAATTTCGTTTGAATATTGGTAGGTGTTTTGTTGTCTTCGCAAAGATTATGATAAATTGGTATTTCAACGAAATTATAATTAAAGAAATGGAATAATTAGATTTGTTTCTTCCCCACGTAAGGCGCCACGGCAAATATTTGAATTAATCGCAAAAAAATGTGATAATGTCCGAGTCTAAAGAGTTTATTCCTGTTTGCTTTAAGAAAACAAATTTCTATTCAGTTTACAACTTTGCTCTAGTTTGACTGACCTCTTATCTCATAAGTATATTTTGAAGTTGCGCGTATCTCTAATTTTACATGATAATGGGTCAGTTTCGGAACAAACCGTCTTTCCGGCTTCCATTAACATCTCATACCATTACCATTCATACCATTTCTTCGCTTGAAGTATCTACTTGACTTTTCAGACCTGGCATTGGGCTACATTAATCGTATGTATAACTCTGACCCCTTTTATTTGTAGTTTCCTACATGCACACACACACACACAAACACACATCTGGTATGTAGGTACATTTATATGATGAACATTTATTTATCGATAATCTGTATTTATTTTATACTAATAGTACTAATTTTTTATTTCCTTAACATCTATTTGCACATATAAATTAACATTTGCGTAATTTGTATACTTTACCACCGTCACTTTCATGGACTGGTAGAACTAACAGTGTATGCATTCCTTTAAAATGATTTTTAAATAAAACCATGTTCAATGCGTCTGTTATACTATACTTGATATTATCCCTTCGTTAAATATGTATTTTATATCATTGAAGAAAAAGCTTCAACTTTGTAAATTTGTTCTATTTTTTTGTGGGCATACAATTTTTGTCAAGTAAAACAGGGTGGTCCGTTTTTTAATGGCTCACCATTGGCATCTGGGAAACCGTAAGATATACAGGGTGACTCAAATTAAAAAAAAGTTGCGCCTCTTCAAGGCCATTAAAACAAACCAAACAGATCAAAGATATCTGTTGTCGTTCCTGAAATATTGTGAAAAAACTGAAAATAGCGATTTTAGAAAATGCCATCTAGCGTCCTTATTTCAAAACGGAAAGAGCTGAAATTTGGTACAAGGGGATAAGAAGATACTAGGAATCCATTTTCGTCGAAAGAAAATTTCTATGGTCACTAGTTTCAGTTATGCAACATTCAATTTTTTTTTATTATGGGCGCCATATTGGATTTTGACAGTAACAGATAGAGGTTAAAATTACGGAAACGTCAATGTGTTACACTACTATTTTATTTGAAGAATAACCCACAAAATTAGAGAAATTCATTAATTTATTTAAAAAATTAATATAATCTATAGTAGTTGTTCTTGACGTAAAACAAAAATCAACAAACATTTTGACAGACAAGGCAGCAAGCGCTAGCAAATTTCGAATCTGTCAAAATGTTTGTTGATTTTTGTTTTACGTCAAGAACAACTAGATTTTATTAATTTTTTAAATAAATTATTGAATTTCTTTAATTTTAAGAGTTATTCCTCAAATAAAATGGTAGTGTTCCACATTGACGTGTTCATAATTTTATCCTCTATCTGTTACTGTCAAAACCCAGTATGGCACCCATAAGGAAAAAAAACAGGGTTAATAGGAACTATGACGTTCAAGCAATTTTTTTACATGAATCGTTCAAAGGGTCATTTTAGATGAAAAAACCGCGGAGTGCTATTAAATGAGAGGGTGGAAATTGGAGATAGGGGTGAAAATGCACACCTTTCAGTTTTTTAATTGTAGCTCGAAAACGAAGCAAAATTTCGGTATAGTTCATAGGAAAGATTATTTAGAGAATTGAATTTCCCATCGAAATAGCTTATTTAAAAAATTTAAAAGGAAAGTTTTATGCAAAAAAATCGTTAATAAACAATTTGAAAAACGCAAAAAAATTCGATTTTCTGATTTTTTTTACTTTTTTGCCTCTAGTTGTTTGTTGAGTAAAGATGGGTATAGGCATTGTTCCATAGAAAGAAAAGTATATAAAATTTCCTTCAAAGCAAGAGTTGTAGAGTATTTTTGAATGAAAATTGACTGATATATGGCCGTTCCAACTTAGCCGCGTTTACGTTTTAATTCTCATTCTCAAAATGCAGCAGAGGCATCGCGTTTCATCCAGGTGTGAAGCAAAAACGTTTACCCTTATACGTTTTAATTCCCAGTTTTTGCAAAAAAGGAAGGATTCGTTCAAGGATTTTCATCACGACTTGTTCGAAGGGTCATTAAAAATGAAAAAACCGCGGGGTGGTATTAAATTAGAGGGTTGAAATTGAAGATATGGGTGAAAAAGCACTTTTGCAGTTTTTTAAATATACCACGAAAACGAAGCAAAATTCATAGGAAAAATTTTGTAGAGAATTGATTTACTCATCGAAATGGCTTATTTAAAAAATGTAAAAGAAACATTTTAAGGAAAGAATCGTTAATAAACAATTTTAAAGAAAGGAAAAAATAAGATTTTTTAATTTTTTTAC